CAAGCCTAATCTGCAGGCCATGCCCGGAATCAGTTAAATTTCCCACAGGGAGAAATCCTCAGTATCTAGCAAACGTCCTCAAGGGAAAAAATAAGCTGGAAGCCAGGTAATTGAAGCTTACTGTAAATATGCAATAAGAACATGGTTACCCTTTGACCTTGTCCCAAACACAGACAGAGATGAAAAGAAGTTAATCCACTCATCACTATAAGCCTGTTAATTTTCTGTTTTCTTACTTAAACTCAGGGGTGACTCAAGGGGCACAAGGATTTATGAGATTGTTTTGCAGAAGAAAAAAGCATGCCTTTAAGGAAGTTATGACCACCAAATAACTAGCACCCAGCTGCCACTGCCATCCAGAAGTCTGAGTCCATAAGTCTGACTGCCCAAGGGCTTATCCGGAGTGAAAGAAACACAGACTTCTTCTTTATTTCTCTGAAATTCCTCCTCCCAAGCCCCTTAGCTCTAAAAAGACCCTGTGCTTTCTTCTCTTGTAAGGCAGATTTGAGAGAACCTATCCTCCTCCCTTCTCACTTTGGCCAATTCAAATAAACCTTTCTCTACCTCCAAGCACCAAGATGTCTCCATGATTGGCTTACTGCTCATTAGGTGCATGAACATGAGATTCAGAGGTTTGGTATCAAGTTCACCTCAGAAGTTCTCCCCTCATCCCAGAGTCTTTATCTTCTTTCCCCATGACTAAGTAAGTGGGGGTGGCTTTTGGGGAGTGAATAAGCTGACTAGCCAAGAATTTTTCCAAATCTATTATGTAAACCAGAATCCAAGCCCTTAGAATTCCAAATGCTAAGAATTAAGCATTTTGCATTTCAGCTGTGGCCAGTAGAAACAAGGTTTAACATGAACAGGGTAAGTGTGAAGTAAATAACAGGCTTACAGAGGTAAGAAGTTGAGTTAATCCTTTCCTCATCATCCTACAGCATTATAATCTGGCTTCTATCTATGCTCAACTAAAACTTCACTGTCAAGTGTTCCCTCTCTGCTCACTAAATCCAATGATCTTTTTCAAGTTTTGTTTTGTTTTTTTCTCCCCAAAACCCCAGTATGTAATTGTATATCCTAGTTGTAAGTCCTTCTAGTTCTTCTATGTGGGATGCTGCCACAGCATGGCTTGATGAGCAGTGTGTAGGTCTGCACCCAGGATCTGAACTGGCAAACCCCAGGCCACCAAAGCAGAGCATGCAAACTTAAGCACTTGGCCACAGGGCCAGCCCCCTAAGTTTTTCTTTTTATGTACTCTTCCACAGAACCTGATGGGATGTTCCAGAGATATCATAATCCAAGGACAATCATTAGTTATTTTACTTAGAATACCTATCTTATTGGTCTTACCCATTTTTAATGAAAAAATAGAGTACATATTACAGTCTTGGTCATATAGCTAATCAGGATTATGGGTGCATACTCCAACAAAATACCCCATTACTATAGCTTATATTAAATTTAAATCTACCATAAGCATACTCTATAAAACTTGCATAAATGTTACACTGCCAGAAAAGAGCATGTACTACTGAGTTTTCCTTCAAAGCATCCAGCTACAATGACCAAAATGTTTCTAAATTTCTAATGCATTCTGGATCATGGTCATTAGTTTATCCTTGCTTTTTTCCAAAGACATTTATTATCATAACATGCAACAAATTACCTTTGGTTCTCTATCAACAATTAGCTTGTTCAGCACTTAGGGTTGATGGCAATACTGAGATGGAATGGTAAAGGGAAAGAAATTTCATGCCAACTCCATTCATTTTGAAAGCTTTCAGCACTGGGTCACACAATGGAAAAATCTCCAGGACGTTCCCTGTGTCTGTGTGTTTGTAATGATTACATGAAAGTCAAGCACAACTCCAAGAAACGAATTGCATTCAGATGCTTTGGAGTTAAAATACTGGGTATGTGGACTAAGTTCCCTAACCAGGACTATTATTTTTATGAAATTACTTGAAGACCAGGACAGGAAATTTGCTGTTGTATGAAGGTAGTCTTGATCGTGTAGATGAACCAAAGTGGGGGGCCAATTTTTGCTACTAATTCAGAGATTAATATAGTAACTTACAAATTTATAAACTTGAGAATAAACAGTATTTTCTCTATTTGCAAGTAATATGAACATTCCGTAAATAACAATGCTACCTTTTTGGCTCTTTTATTTTGGCAGAGGAAGATGAGCCTTGAGCTAACATCTGTTGCCAATCCTCCTCTTTTTTTTTTTACTTGAGGAAGATTGTCCCTGAGCTAACATTTGTGCCAATCTTCCTGTACTTTATATGTTGGTCACTGCCACAGCATGGCTGACAAGTGGTTTAGGTCCACACCCAGGACCCAACCCGCAAACCTGAGTCACCGAAGAGGATCACACCGAAATTAACCACTAGGCTATGGGACCAGCTGAACCTTTTTTTTTTTTTTTTTTTAAATCAGCCTATTTAAAGTTTACTTAGGATGCATGAAAAAAACTCTTTGGCCATGGCCTACAAAGACCACCACAGTCAGGGTCCTACCTATCTTTGTAATCTCACTTCTCCACAAACATCCTGTATTTCAGCTACTTTATGTCACAAGACTTTCAAGATACATAACAGTATTCTCACTATTGTGTTTAGCACAAGCTGTTTCTTCTACCTAGAATTTTTTTTCCCATCTTTCTTACATAGTGAACCCAATTCAAATGTTACCTTCTCTGTGAATCTCTTCCTGACCTCCCTAAACATGGTTGGATACTCTCTTTTTCTTACTCCTATAGCATTCCATGCACACACATATTACAGCCTCCACCTCATTACTATCTCTGGCTTTTGCATCCTTCTAGGGCAGGAAAAATATTCTAAGTAATGGATATCCCTAATGCCAGTACCCTATCTGACACAAGCAGCTATAGTTAATAAATGTAGGAAGAACAAAGAGAGGGAGGGACAGAGAGAAGGCAGGAGAGAGAGAAAGTGGGAGGGAAGAGAGGAAGGAAGGAAAGGAGGAAGGAGAGGGAGGGAGAGAGAGGGAAAGAAGGGAGGGAGGAAAGAAGGGAGGGAGGAAAGAAGGAATGAAGGAAGGGAGGGAGGGAGGGAAGGAGGGAAGAAAGAAAGAAAGGAAAACTTCAAGCTTTAAATGTGACCAAAAATTTTTCCAGATCATAGATTTGCAATTAAAAAGCCCACGATATTTATTGAATGAGCAAAGAGCCCCTAAATATTGAAAATGTAGTGCTATAATTAAGAAGGGAGACACGATATTTATTATCCCAGAAAGTAAACTAATACTGTCTTTATCCTCCAAAGCTGTCTCCAAGATAGCCGGCAACAAAAGCTGTCATAGCTATGTGGAAACATGTAGGATCCAAGGAGAATTCTCTCCCAACAATACCTACCACTCTTTTATGTCTTGGCTTCTGGAGAATTTCCTTATAAATATGCCACTCCATTAGCCTCTCTGATTACGCTGACAGATAGAAGATGGAACCAAATCTGTTCAACTTGCCTCACGTAACATTTAATTAAGGCCCCACCAATATGACCCCAAGCAATAGGATGAGACCTATCTGAAGCACTGACTTGAGCCATGCTCCTCAGAGTCCTAGGCCCCAACTGCTGAGCAAATCTCACAAGCTATCAGAGTCTACCTTAGAAAGCCAAGTGTGTTTCTCTTTAAGTTTCTGTATTGACCTTTACCACTTGGTCTGAGGCATTAATCCAGCTACAACACCGTGTATTTGTGATTGCACATTCTGCCTTGAAAGTAGTCTAGTCTAGGCAACTCTATCATCCATAACAAGCCTGGCCAGTGAATTGAGGCTGACTGAACACTTTACAAATCTGAGGTAGTGTTTCCTTAAATACTCAGGTCTTTTATGACTACTCCTAAGATTCAATAACTGAAATATTGAAATTAAGAATTCAAAGGAGAGGCTTAACAACTGATGAGAGAAGCCAAGTAGAGAATTAGTAAACTAGTGAAAAAATAGAAGAGAGTATGAAAGACATAGAACGTAGAGGGAGAATTAGACTCTATATATACTTAATTAGACTCTAGAAGAGAAGAGTGAAGAGGCAGTATGTGAGGAGTAATGGGTGGGAGTTTTCAAAAACATATGGAAAGCATGAGTCTACAAATTTGAGGAGCCCTAAGAATCTGGAGGGGATGAATGAATGAATGAAAAAATGCAGACATACATACATACATACATAAAAGTCCACATCCAGGAACATCAAAGCAAGACTACAAAAAACCAAAGTCAAAGGCACAATCTTAAAGGAAGCCAGAAAAATAAAACCACTCTAAGAGTTTCCAATTGACAGCTGACTTCTCAACCACCACAATGGAGGCCAGGAGACTGTGGAATGATATCACCAATATTTTGAAGGAAATAACTGACAAGCTTGTACTCCATACACAGAAAGCAATTTTTTCAAGAATGAAAATGAAATACAAAAAACGTTGGACAAAAATGAGAGAGTTTTCAACCAGCATGTCTATACTTAAAGGTGTACTCAAATCAGAAGAAAATGACCCCAGATAGAAGTTCAGAGATGTAAGAAGGAATAAAAATCAATATAAATGTTATATGTAGGTAAATCCAAGTAAACATTAACTTATTTTTATGGCTTGAATTGTGTTCCCCCAAAAGGTATTTGAATACCTAAGTCCCAGTACCTCAGAATGTGACCTTATTTGGAAATAGGGTCATTGCAAATATAACTGGTTAAGATGAGGTCATACAGGTGTAGGGTGGGTTCCTAGTCCAATACGACTGAGTCGTTGTAAGAAAAGGAGAAGAGACACAAAAAGAAGCATACACACATGTAGAGGGGAAAAAAAGAAGAGAGTTTGCACATCATATAGAGGCTGATAATGTTCTGAGATCAGGGGTAAAGACAGAGCAACTCACACCGTGGTCTCACTCTCTTTTACCTTGCCTTCCTCCAGTAGGCTTCCTTTCTGTTCTATTCATTCTCTGCTCAGAATTTGTCTTCTGTTCTATTACTCACCTGGTTTCTTAGAGTCTTTCTCTTTGTTCAATGATGGCAAATGACATGGGATTCGGGTATCATGGTACAAAATAATTCTGTAAAGTATTATAAAGTAGTATGTTTATTACTAGTTCATTTTATAGATTTAAAATTAGAGTTTCTAAATATAAAAATGATATGGATTGGTACCATGCGAAATGCAGACGTGATGTGTGTCACCTCCAAGAGGAAGCTTCAAGAATCAGTGTCTGGTCTGCTTCGTCCCTTTGTGTTTCGCCTTCTTTGTTTTGACTTGATGCCCTGGCAGTGTGGTCCTGTAGCCTCTCCTATCCTGTTTCCTGATGGAAGACAATGAAAAACCAAAACCAAACCTAAAATGCACATGTAATGTGAGCAAATGTTTTAAACCCCTACAATTTTAGATCTGTTTGTTACCAAGCATAACTTGCCATATCTTAACTGGCACATTTACTGTAAATGTGCTATTCCAATCCAGTAGTAACGCCCAATGGAATAGGTCAATGGAATCTTTTTGAATCTTATGAAATTTCGGTGTGGACTGCTCTTAATCAAGAATTTTCCTTGAGACTATTATTTAAACATTCAAAGAAAGGCTCATTGGAAGCTTGTTGCTAATAAGTTTTTCAACAAATATTTCAGTCTACGACACCAAAAAATAAGCCAGTGGGAGAAACAATTCCATGGATAGCCATCTGTGTAAGGAGATCTAAGAGGAGGGATATGAACAGCTGCATTTATAAGAACCTTCTATTTTCCTCTCCTCCCCCAGTCTCAACTGCCTCCGAAGGTCACAGTTTCAAGACCACTTCTTCCTGTTGAGACAAGCTAGACAATCCTGCCTTTAGAGACTTCAGACAAGTTCTAATCTTGGCAAACTCTCTGAGAGTGGACAGAGGTCGAGACATACTCTATTATTGTACCTTGACTCTCATCCAGCCTAAGGGGTTAGGTGCTTCATTTCACAGATTTCAGAGTCCCTTTGGGCTTTCTTAGTCTCAACTGGCAGCCGCAGGCAAAAAGATGCTTGCAGTTAGTAATTTGAGAATTCATTAACGGACTAAGCGACTTCCTGTTCTGTACTTGACCATCACTCAGATCCCAATCTCGTCCACACACGTGCCGGTTTCCTGTGAAAGCCAGGAAGGCTGTTTGAGCACAGCTATGGGTAGAGTTTGGCCAAGACCTGTGTTTTAACTTAATATCAATATTACAATTTTCATCTGGAATTTATCCTCAAGAGTCAGGATTGAATTTCCAAAGATGAAATTTAGTAAACGAGGACGGTACACAGAGATGTGCATTTATGTCTCCAATTCAGCATAAAAGAGGTTCATCGAAACCCTTCAGGGACTCGTGCTCATCACCGCGGTCGGTCCTGGGTTTCCAAACCTGAGAGAAGACGTAATGAATTACGCTGGAGTTCAGAACACCCCCTGTCCTTTGATTCTCAGTTAGATTTTTTTTCCCCAGGTCAGAAATGTGGAGCCAGGATTTTGTAGCAGAAATAAAGAAATGCAATTTAGTTACTAGGAGGGAACAAAAATCTTTAAGATTTATTAAATGGAGTAAGCTCAAATAAAACAAACCTGACAAAATTTTCTCATCTCTTGGATCAATATGAATATAAAATTGAAGATGACTTCAGTAGGTTCTGTCTGTATTTTTACTAGTTTAATGAGCATCAATACTTACCAGCCAACGGCTGAGATGTGCTGGCTCTTCTAACACCTCTGCTAATCAGGAGCCCCATTGCACAGGTAAAGACAAAAAAACTAATAAAGGGCCAGGACTTTTCTGGGAAGGTATGTTCTCGTAATATATTTTAAAAGCTCCATGTTTAGATTTGCACATTTTTTTTAATGCTAATGTGTTTTAATCAGTCCACAAAATTTAATTATTACATTTTACATATTTTTAAAAATACGGCCGTAGGTTTTTAAATGATTGCCATGGAAAATTACACTAAACTATGATTACACCCAACCAAAGAAACCAAAATGATGCCCAAATCTAGATTGTGATATAAATTCTCTGAAAGCTGCAGGGAAAGGGTACACAGAGGGGAACGGAAAAGGAAGACAGCGCTCAGCAAGCCCACAGGATAATTAGCTGCCTTTCAGGCACACTATCCCTTCTCAATCACTTGAGATGTATGATTTTCATACTCTGAGAGAGAAAAAAAGACCAAACCACAGTCACCCTCCCTTGCCAGGAAATAGCTGCGCGGACTCCCCTCGCTGTGGCTACATGGGCTCTGCGACAGCTGGCGTGTGGGTGGCGCACATCAGGTCTGCCGGGTTGCAAAGAGGCACCGGGCCTCCCGCTCGGTGGGGGGTCCGGGGCTCCTGTCCACGAGGGGATGGGGGTGGGTGCATGCGGAATAGGGGAAGCACCTGAGAACACAGGCCTGGCATCTGTGGAGACCACCAATGAGTAAACCACTTACGGGAGAAGAGGAACTCGGAAGGGAAGAGGAGCAGCCGTTTCCCGCTTCAGTTCCCACAGCTGCGCCCCTCCCCACAGCTGCTGCGCCCGCTTAGGACAGGGAAAACAAAAGAGAAGCGGGACACCCTGCAGTGGTTTGGCCGCTAAGAAGCGGGCAGAGTGTAAAGAAAGCCACCGAGAAGAGAGCGAAGCCTTCCCTCCCAGCCCCGCAGGGCGCAGCAGACGCCAAGGGGCTGCCCCACCCGTCGCCACAAAGCTTCACTCCTCGCTCACACCAAAGCCTCTGCAGGCCAGGAGACTCTCCCTCCTGCGGGGACTGCCATCCTGGCTCAGGGTCTCTGCTCCTCCCTGGCTGCAGGATCTCAAACACAGGCCCGCTTGGTCGGCGTTACAGTGGGAGAGCGCACACTAGAGTATCACACCTGTTGTTGGGACTGTAACTGACACATGTTGTTCCTGCTGGTTTCAGTGGCCACCTCTGGTCACCTGTAGGCGATGCCTGACTGCAAAGGGCATGGGATCGCAGTCCCTGTGTACCTGGAAGTTCTGGTGATGAACATTAGAGCCACGTGCCCTTATCCTCTGAAGCCCTGAAATCAAGTTCTACTTCTGTGCAGCCTCAGCTTTCCAAGAGGATGCTCTTGCCCATTCTGTGACATCCAGTTGTCTCAGTTCTCGACTCTAGATTCTAGTCTCCCTCCCAAAGGAAAGATAGAGAGGAGGGACACACAGAGTGTGTCTACCCTGTGGATTTTTTTTTTTTTTTTTGGTGAGGAAGATTGTCCGTGAGCTAACATCTGTGCCCATCCTCCTCTATTTTGTATGTGGGATGCCACCACAGTATGGCTTGATGAGTGGTGTGTAGGTCCGTGCCCAGGATCCAAACCTGCAAACCCCAAGCTGCTGAAGCGGAGCACATCAGCTTAACCACTGCGCCACCAGGCCGGCCCCTACCCTGTGGATTTTGAAAGCAGAGAGTTCACTCCCCAAAAGTCCGTGAGACAAAGGTAACCAAAATGCATCCCAGGCTAACAGTTGTAAGCGGCTCTGCCCCGTCTTCCCCGGAGAGCCAGTAATGCTGCGAAGGAGACACCGACTTGTTCTCTCTGGGCTTTGCCTTTCTGCCTCATGTTTTATGACTGCTTTTCTTATTTGGCTCCTGGAAAGAGATTCTAGTGAAGGAAGGAAGGAAAGGAGGGAGGGAGGGAGGGAAGAAAAATTAACTTGTGAGACTATGAAGTTCTTTCAAAGACATCAATTCATACGAACTTCAAAACAACCCTTAGAAGAACCTACATGTTTATCCCCAAGTTACCAGCAAAGAAACTAAAACTCAGAATACATAAGGCAAATCTAGGGCAGAAGCAGAAAGAAGTCTCCCTCAGGATCAGTTTCCACTAACTTCAGTGGAAATGGAAACCAAAGACAAGACCTTCGGAAAACCAAAGACAAGTTTCCATACATGCCTGGTATCTTCCGAATGTCAGGTGTCACCTGCCTTTTCTCTCAATGGTTACTGTCATTTCTGACAACATCTAAACCAGCTTTACCTCAGCAATTGCTCTCAGGTCCCTGGTCTCTTCGCCTGCCTCCAATCGACCAAAACTAAACCTGGGAACTCAGACTGTGCCTGTCCTGCTTTTGGATCACAGACACAGTGTTTTCCTGGGCCCCCCAAGGCTTCTCTTCCAGCCCTGGTTGCTAACTTATGCCCGGTGGGCCCCCACTTCGTCCTGCCTCACCTCCCCTCGAATGGGGCTGCAGTTCCAGTCAGCTCCTGTGTGTGTCAGGCACCTGGAGCCACAGCCCAGAGGTTACAGGCAGGCATGGGAGCAAGGGTGGAAGCGCTCCCTGAGGTCTGTGGGTTCACAGGCACAGCGCTGAGCGCTCCCCTCAGCCCAGAAATTAAAAGCCAGGCTCCAGAACAGAGAGGCAGAGGCTTTCCTGTCTGCCAAGCTCCTTAGAAGAAGAATGTAAACGCCAGCAGCCCGGGCTGCCAGCAGGACTGCTGGAAGGTATGGAGACTCGCAGAGCGAGGCAGCAGCGTCATGATCTGGGCAGGCCAAGAACTCTGCAAGGGGAAGGGAGGGAGCAGGAATTTGCCTCCCAACAGCATGTTTGAGAACAAGCAGTCTTTTCCCCAAAGCCATCTGTGAGACTCTCAACTTGTGCCTGAGGAAGAAAAGGGCGAGACGGAGAGAGAAAAGTGAATTACTGGAAAAAGCAGGCAACTCTCCGGGAGTTGCGAGGGCAGCAAAAAGACCGTCTACCAGTCTGTTAGTCTTGGCAGCCGCCTCTCTGTGATTCTGGCCACAGTCAGAGTCTCTAAGGCCCTGCTTCTGGAAAACGTGGCAAGGGTTGGACCTGAAATGTGGACTGTGGATGGCTCTGGTGTGATCTAAGTCAGAGGGAACCGTGAGTTCCCGACCTCGGCCCCTCAGCACATGGGGTCACTCATGTGACATTGTGACTAGTTTGGCCCTTGCTTACAGGCTCTCTTCAGTTCGTGAAAGACCCTAGGGGAACACGTCTCAGATTGCACTGGAATCTCCCAGGAGGCAGGCCCACCAAGGTTTTGTCTCTCTCCATTGCAGCCTGAGTGGTGTTCTGAAATGTAGGTGGTGGATGAGAACATCCCTGTCGACAAACAAGAGGCGTTTTGCTGAGCACTCTCCCCCGCAACAGAGGGCAGGTGTTCCGCCCGGAGCCAGAGTGCTTCCTCTCAGCTGCTTAGAATTCTGCAAGAAATCATTTCTTTTCTTCACGCCCAGGAGCTGTCTTGTTTAGGAATGTGTTTGCAAGTAGCCGAAAACCTGCCGTATAGCAGCTCAAAACAAATACAGATGTATTTTTCTCACATAACAAGATTTCA